TTGCTTTATAGAGTTTCAGGTGCCTGGGCTTAAGTTGGGTTGAATTAATCTCTTCACTGGGCCAAACTCAGACTGTGGTGTGGTCCACTATAACCCAGAGGGTCGGGATCTTTGTTGCAACAGGTACAGGTCTGGGAGAAGCAGCCGAGTGACTTAGGGGCACTGGGGAGCCCTCTGGAATCCTGCTTCCTACAGGCTGCACCTTCCTGTCCCTTCTTTCTCTCTGAAATAACTGCTCTTGAAGGATTGACCATCGGATGTCCTTAGCTCGGTGACAGTGTACAATCATCCTCATAACCGCAGACTCCCCCTAATGTCAAGGTGACTCCTGCTTGGTGGGTTAACAGTGCAACCGAGGCCAGCACAGTGCCCAGGAGGAGCTGCCCAGCAAGCAGCAGCCCACAGTGCAGGAGCCTCCAGGCTTTCTCATCAGCCCGTCCAGGGAAGAAGGCCCAGGGGAAAGGGAGGGTGAGGCTTAAGTGTTCAGTCATCAAACATCATCAGTACCAAACCCTCCCATTCATTACAAGAACAAACTTGGGGGACAAAAATAGGCATTCGCACTGGTAGTTTTTATATAGAGAAACGCTAACAGCATGGTGAGGCAGTGAGCAAAACTGGTCATGTAGGGAGGCTGGAGTCCGAGCAGCAGTGGGGCAGGATTGCAGGCAGGGAGTCTCCTTCAGGCAGTTTCCTCTCTTACAAATTTTTTACACCTTCCCACGCAGTATTTATTTAAAATAAGGGGAGACACGGGCTGGCCCAGTGGTACAGTGGTTAAGGGCACGTGCTCTGCTTCAGAGGCCTGGGACTCACCAGTTTGGATCCTGGTCATGGACCTACACACCTCTTACCACGCCAGGCTGAGGCAGGCATCCCACACATAAAATAGAGGAAGATGAGCACAGATCTCAGCTCAGGGCGCATCTTCCTCAAAAACATAAAATAACATAAGGAGAGATTTATATATGCCATATTTTCCCATGTTTGATCACCATTTTTAAATAACTTTTAGTTTTAACGTTTCTACATAGGAAACCATTCCAAGATTTAATCCTTTAAACACTAATGGACACACAACTATAAACCATAAAAAATTTACCAATCTCTTTCTACCAAAAAAGACAAGGGGCATTTTGGTTTCTGCCTCCAGTATATTTACCCTGGGAATGCTTTTAGGAAGGAGTAGCATATCACAATACCTTAGGGGTTTGCAATGAAGCCCTGAGTAAACTAGGAATTCCAAAGATTTACACAAGCTTCGATCTGATTCCTCAGATCAATGAAAACAGAAATTCAACTGCCTCTTCCCTACACCTATTAAAACAGAATTCAGGGGCTGGCCCGGTGGCATAGTGGTTAAGTTCACTTTGCTCTGCTTCAGTGCCCTGGGGTTCGCATGTTTGGATCCCAGGTGTGGACCTACCACTGCTCGTCAAGCCATGCTGTGGCAGCATCCCACATAAAATGGAGGAAGATGGGCACACACAGTAGATAGTGATAATCTTCCTCTCACACACACACACACAAACAATAAGAAAATAAATGCAATTCATTTGCCTCAGGAATAGTTCAGCCTTTTAAATGTCACAGTTCTCTAGGGACAAGGACACACAAAACTGACCTAAACATGGAAAATGCACCTGAGAATTGAAATACACCCATCTCACATCTTGACGTTCTCTTGTCTAAATGGAAAGAAAACTGTTTTCACAATTTTCTTGCCTTGCTCACATCATATCTCTGAAATAAAATTTTCAAAACCCCAAGTGCAAATGGAAACTAGAATCAGAGGATTGTAATCTTCAACTGATCAAGGAACCCGAGGACAGAAACAGGAATATTCCACTCAGCTCATGGAAGCAGCCTGCTGGCCTGCAGCCCAGAAGGAAACCCACACTCAGAAAGGGACCATATTCCCAGACTTAAGGTGTAGACTCTCTGAGTGGACACAGATCCCCTGGAGAGGGTCAGGCCCTGGTGAAGGAGGGTGGAGACCCCTGAGCAGCCAAAGGAATGCACTCTGGGAGCCCCACACACCCTCCCTCTCCTGTGAGCATGGACGCATTGCCTTCCCCAGGCTCCCACTCTCACAAGTGAGGAAACTCTCAACCGGATTCAGTTTAAGCTTCAGACCCACATGAACTCCAAATACATGAACTCTTTGTCCACAGGACAGAACACCTGCTCTTCAAAGACTTTCTCACTGTGCACAGATTACACTCTCAGTGCACCTAAGTGTCAAAGCAAAACTCAAACAATGTCTAAAATGTCCAGACACAACCACAACCTCACAAAGGGTGTCACTCCCCACCCCATGGGCACATTCACCCCCAGCTTTCCAGGGCTCTGCAGCTCCTCTCAGGATAAAGGCTCCTTCCGTGGGGGTGTGAGCAGTAGGACACCTGCGGGGGTGGCTCTCCAGGAAGAACAACTGGGCCCGCAAGGCCTTCCCTCTGCAGGCTCAAGGGGGCCTTAGCTTGGGTCTTGGACTGGGGGACTCTGCTCCCCACTGGAGATGCTCTGGAACATCACTGTTATTTTAAATCACACAAACCCAGTGCTGGAATAATCCAGCAAAATCACTTAAACGCAGTCCTTCCACAGAAAATAAGGGAAAATATTATACGGTATTTCTACCACTTCAACTAGAAAAGCACAAATGTATATTCTTTTAAGAAAAAATGTGAGTTGCTACTGTTACTGAGCGAGGGCTCACCACGTGATGCACACAGAAGCTGAGACCACGGCACACCAGGCTTTGAAAGATGAAACAGTTGACTGTGCCATCGATTGGCAAGGAGACAGGAGGACAGGCTCTCAACTCCGTCTCCCTCATCCAGAGCATGGGCTGAGGCTTAAGGGAGCAGGGAGGGCCGGCTGGGATGAAAAGACCTGGCAGGGTGAGGTCTGACTGGCAGATCAAAACTTTCTCTCCCGCACAGGCTCCTGGCTGGCCACCTCCTGTGACAAAGAGCTCTAATATCCTGCTGTTAAGATGGGGTTAGTGACGGGAGGTCAGCAGGAAAAGCACAGTGAACAAGGGGCAAGTTGTCCTGCAGATTTAACTCCTTGCCTTCTCCACTGGTAAGAGTTTCTAGAGATCTAGAGTCATCCTGCCCTTCCTGGCACACAGAGGGAGGCACCCTTAAAAAGGGACGTTTCTCTTAGAATGTAAACTGACCTTACAAAAGGGTAACTTCTACTAGGTTTTCAGAGCTTTGCCTGTGGCTGCTGTTTTTTAATAATCATCAGCTCAAAATAGCCCTTATACCAAAGACGCATCATTTGGGATGACAAGTCTGTTCCTGGGCCTGTGGTGACATTATTTCCATGACAAGAAATCACACTTGAACACTTGTGGTTTGCGTGTCTCAGCCCTGGAATCTCCTTTGGAAGCACCCAAAAGTAAGGAACACACCTCAGAAACTAACGACAGACATTCAAGGGAAGAGAGAGTGAAATAAGTATTCTTAACAAATGGAACGTAACAAAGGAATGTTATATTTTTTCTGAAATTCACCTCTTTGTTGCCTGTCTGGAACTATTTTATAGTGTCTTTCAAGCTCTACTGACTAGATACATTTACCCTTCTTGCAAAACGGACACTTAAATCAGTGAATAATTTTTTCTCGTTCACAAACCTGGGCGGGGTGTGGCAATGCCAATGGAACTGATCACTCAGGACATTTTTCCAAGGGGAACCCCCACCCAAAGTGATGTGGATTAAGGCTGCCCCAGCTAGAGAAGCCCAAGGTGACCTGGCCTACATGCCAAACTATATGACCCAGTGGACTTTTTTTATGGTATGAATTAGGACTGCCCCAGGGAGAGAAGCCCGGGTCATCCTCACCTGCATGCCAATCTATATGGCCAGATTCGTATCTAAAGTTATATGACCGCACAATAACCAGACCCCATCTGCACTGAAATCATTTAATGACTTTTTACATCATCTTTTCTTTTTCCAGTAAAAATAAGTCACGTATCCATGCCTTATAAAATTAGCCCTAACCCTCAACTCAGGGCAGCAGCAGGAGCTCTGACTGCCCACGGGTCCTGTCCCCATGCAGCAGCAGCAGCTCTTCACTGCCCATGGGTCCTGTCCCCATGCCTACAGCTCTTCACTGCCCATGGGTCTTGTCCCCATGCTATTCCGTACTGTTCTCTAAATAAAAGAGCACCACTGCCAGACCTTGAAAGTCCAAGAAATCTTTCTTTTGACTCCTCGGCTCACCCACCCCGCAACAAAAGGATTTGCCATAGGATGTCTGGGCCTAGATGATCCCGGGGAGAGGCACCAGGATTTCCTAAAGTGTAGTTCCCAGTGCTTATTCTCCGCTTTCCTCTCATGTAAAATAGCCACAGACAAACATAATCTGGAAAATAGAGCCATCCAGGGCTCTGGGGCATAATGATAAGCATTTAAAATATCGAGTCTGTTTGAAATGCGCCATGGAGGACAAGTGTTGATAAGGATCCGTGAATGAAAGAGGGGAAGTGGCTTTGGGAGTGCGGGGAGGCATCTGAAAATGTACGGATTTACTGTCAGGCCCAGGAAGAGCAGCCTGTGGGGAAAGGACTGTGGATTGCGGCGCTGCTCCCCAAACATTTGGAAAACTCAGGAGAAAACGGGTCCCCTCCGAGGAGAAATGAGGCCCTGGGGACCCCCACAGACCGCAGCCCCTCCGCGCACGGACCCCGGAGACCCAGGCCCGACTGTCCTGCGGGCCCCGCACCGTCTGTGACACGCGGGGCTGCGGGCGCACAGCGGCCCAGAGACGCTCCGGCCCAAGTCGCCGCGCGCAGGGACCACAGGACGCCCGGGGCCCGGCTGCCCGCCCCGCCCCCACGCTGGGGCCGGAGGGGCCTGAGGGCCGAGTGGCGCCGCCGCGGACTCAGGGCCGCAGACCCCGGAGGGGACCGCGGGAGGCTGGGCCCGCCCCCCGCTTCCCACCAGCCTCTCCTCCCGCGTCCTCACCCCGGGGCCGCACACTCACCATTTCCAGGGCTCCTGGGTCCCCCGAGTCCTTCCTAGGACACTGCGGTCGCTACAGTCCACAACTCGACAGAACATGCGGCAGGGCCAAGGGTTTAATGGCGGGGAGACGCGGTCCCCAGCGCCGCCGGAGCGTCAGCTACTTCCGGGGGTTGGGGCACTTCGCCCCACCCACCTACCCCGGCGCCTCGTCTGATTGGACAATTCAAAAGACTCACCCTCGTCTGTCTGAGTGACAGCCTCTGAGTTTAGGTGTCTGAGCAGAATGCCAGACAGAATTCGTTGTCTGCAGGGCCGTTCGCATTGAAAGGTAGTGCTGGGAGGGGACTTCTGGGACTGTGATCCTTGTTTATAAAAACACACAGTTGAAGGTCCCCTCACCATATGCAATTGATGCGGGAATGGAGAACGGAAGAGTAGAAAGAAAGTTTTCTTGGACTCTCAAGGTCTGGCAGTAGTGCACTTTTGTTTAGAGAATAGTGTGGAATAGCATGGGGACAGGACCCATGAGCAGTCAGAGCTGCTGCTGCCATGTGTTCAGGGCTGGGGCTAAATTTGTAAGGCATGGGTACATGCCTTATTTTTACTAGACAGAGAAAAGATGATGTAAAAAGTCATTAAATGGTTTCAGTGCAGATGGGGTCTGGTTATTGTGCGGTCTTATAACTTTAGATAGGAATCTGGTCATATAGACCAGCATGTAGGCCAGGATGCCCTGGGTTCTCTCCCTGGGGCAGCCTTAATCCACACCATAAAATCCATCGGGTCATATAAATCAGCATGTAGGCCAGGACACCTTGGGCTTTTCCACCTGGGGCAGCCTTGATCCACATCATAAATCCCCCCGAACCCACTTGGCCCCAAAATCTCTTGGGGATATGGATGATGGTAAATCTTCTGTAACTACTTCTGGCTGTACAAGGTCGTAGAGCTGTCCCTAAATGGGGCCATAGGTACAGGCAGGAAGTTCAGAGGACCGGAAGGCTGCACCCGTGGAGTCCAAGGCTGACAAGGTACACGGATCCTCTGGAGACGAGAGAGTCATTTGACGAGAGGAGGTCCAGGAAGTGAAACTTTGTTGACATGCGGAGGACAAGCAACGAAATAGACAGCAAATTATAATAAGAAATACAAGCAATATGATTAACGCAATGAATGAGGCTTTGATAGTAGTCCAGAGACCTGGTCCTGACCAGGAGTTCAAACAATCATTTAGAGATAGGGTAGGGTCAGACATGGATTTAATTTGGTGGCTCATATCTGATAGGAAGCCAGAGATATTTTAATGGTAGTCAGGAATGTAGACACAACATTCAGTTTTTATAATGGCACAAGTGCCCCCCTGTGCTGCTGTCAAGACATCCAGTGCCATTCGGTTTTGGAGGACTGCCTTACGCATTTGGGATACTTCTAAATTGAGCAGCAAAAGGCTATGTTGTGTACCATTTAATGCCTTCATAATAAATTTGTTTAGAGCTTCCATGTGCTAGATGACACTTTCAATTCCTAATTGGGGAAGGAAAATTGAGGCAAGGTGATCATACCAGTGGAAGACAGATCGTGTCCAGCGCTGGTGCAGGTTCGGTAGGTTAGCAGGAGGAGATATAGTAAATGTAGCTCTACCTTGCATCCAGATGAAGCCTAGGGTGCATGGTCCAATCCATCCAGGTAGCAGCCAAGGCCATAAGTTGGAGTCACATAGCCACTGAGTGCCATTAAGAGCTAACCAACGTATGCTGGGCCGCCTATCCCAGGCAGTCCCAAACCAATCAGTATTTTTTAAGGCTATGATATGAGAACACATATAACTGGAAATTTTCCCCATAGGTCGGGTGTTATTGGGCCACGTATCACAGGTGTGATTGGTTTGTTCCCAACATAGAGTGGCCTTTTGACTGAGTTGACCACTACTAGGAGTGAGCCAAATATATTCATCCCAAATTTGATATAGTCCGTCCTGTGTGTATCAATAGGTGCTGGGGTCCAGCCTCGGCAGAGTCCAGGTTCCCGCGGGAGAGACGGCGTCGTCGAAAGTGCAAGTGCAAGACGTGACTCGATGCAGTTGCAAACAAGTACAATTTATTTCGGGGACGGGGCATACATATATAGTGAAAAATTATGTGAGGTGGTCTGACTATTGTCGTCATAAGATCAATAGGTGGGGGGTAGTGCATAACTAAAGATAATTATTTTCCTACATGCGAGGGCTGTTATCCAAAGACCATATGTGCAGCAAGCATAGGTATCAATTGTTAGGGAAGAGGTTATATAGTTTCAAGGTCTTCAAAGAAGCTAGGAGGACAGTGAGTATATAATTAACGGAACACAGACTCCCTCATCCTTAGGGGTAGCTCATTACTTTTAGAGATATGGTTCTGCCTGTTTCCACAAGGTTTCCAGAGCAGAGAGGAAGACATTAATCAATGATAGGCTTTGAAGTAAGGAGTTCAGAAAGGAGGACGAAGGATTCTGCCTAAAGAATTATGTTCCCTGGAGAAGTGCCTTGCACGATTCTCCTTCCATTGCCAGACCTTGTCACAATGCAATGGTAACTAGAGTGGGGGAATGCTTCCCACAGATAGGTTGGGGACTTTGCCTTTGGAACTTGTTATTTATGATCCACCTGTGACAAGGCAAATCTAGTTAGTATTTGGGCAGTACTATTGAAGGAAAAGGTTTGATTGTGGCCAGGGAACTCCCAGGTATCAGAGATGGATGGCCACAAGGAGACATTATGATTAGTAACAGATGAATCTTGTAGAAGAAAAGAACTAGAATCTAATATCCATGAATGTGTACTATAGCTTCTACTGAAACATTATTTTTTCTCTCTAAAACCACCCTCATTTTTACAAAAGATAGCCAAATTAAGATTAACTGGTTTGCAAAATAAATGTAGTTTCAACACAACTTCGTCCAATTATTTACATAAGTGCAACAAGGATAGCAACTAATTATACAGGCTCTTTGAAATCTGCTTTGCTGGAATTTTTTTTTTATGAGGAATCTCAGATTGAACTGTAAAGGCCTCTTGACACCAGGAAAGCCAAGCCAAGGACTTGCCATCAGATTTTGCCTGCAATACCTACAGGTTTGGATGGACGCCTCTCTTCTCGAGGTCCCCCAAAATATTCTGAGGTTCCTTGCACCTGCCAGATGAGCAAGCTTCCTTACTTACCAGGCAAGATTGCCAGAATCTCTGTAAACAAGGTACCAGGCCCATATTTCCAAGTGGCTTTATTTCCAGAGAGTCCAGTCTTTGTTCCTGAAAAGCTCTCTTGTCATATCTGAGCCTGTATGTTTCTCTCAAATATGACATTCCAGTCAAAGCTTTGGTAAGATAACCAATGTGTCCTGTTATAAGGAGACCAAATTCTTAGTGAACTTATGCAAATAACTATATTTCCATGAAATAACCATACTCACAAAGAGTTTCCAAATTCTGGAGGGATTGGGTAGGGAGAAAAAGCTAAATGTTTCAGTTTTGCTCATAAAGGTATAATTTCACTAAATTGTTGTGTCTTGGTTACCATAAGAGAAAAGAGAAAAAGATTTCCTTAAATCTGAGAAAACAAAACAACACATCAAAACTCAACAATATTTCAAACAGAAGTCATAAAAGAAATTATAATCATCCTCATCAGTTCACACAGTCCTGTCTAATCAATTCTAGAGCTTAATCTTCTGTTAGCAGATCTATGAGCTCAGTTTCTCCGTTAGAATTCTATAATTTCTTACCCAGTTCAGTTTTACAATCTGAAAGTTTATCAGAAACCTGTAGTTTAGAATCTTGTGTCAGATTCCTTTCCAGGAATTTCTCTGAAGATGAAACATATTTGCAAAAACAAAAAGGATCAGAGTAAAACAGCAACTATCTGCAAATGACAAAAGACTCAAAAGGGCAAATGAGAAATAAACTTGGCTACTTCTGTGATCGGACCCTACCCTATCCCTAAATGATAGGTTGGACTCCTGGTCAGGACCAGGTCTCTGGACTACTATCAAAGCCTCATTCATTGCGTTAATCATATTGCTTGTATTTCTTATTATAATTTGCTGTCTATTTCGTTGCTTGTCCTCCGCATGTCAACAAAGTTTCACTTCCTGGACCACCTCTCGTCAAATGACTCTCTCGTCTCCAGAGGATCCGTGTACCTTGTCAGCCTTGGACTCCACGGGTGCAGCCTTCCGGTCCTCTGAACTTCCTGCCTGTACCTATGGCCCCATTTAGGGACAGCTCTACGACCTTGTACAGCCAGAAGTAGTTACAGAAGATTTACCGTCATCCATATCCCCAAGAGATTTTGGGGCCAAGTGGGTTCAGGGGGGGATTTATGATGTGGATCAAGGCTGCCCCAGGTGGAAAAGCCCAAGGTGTCCTGGCCTACATGCTGATTTATATGACCCGATGGATTTTATGGCGTGGATTAAGGCTGCCCCAGGGAGAGAACCCAGGGCATCCTGGCCTACATGCTGGTCTATATGACCAGATTCCTATCTAAAGTTATACGACCGCACAATAACCAGACCCCATCTGCACTGAAACCATTTAATGACTTTTTACATCATCTTTTCTCTGTCTAGTAAAAATAAGGCATGTACCCATGCCTTATAAATTTAGCCCTAGCCCTGAACACATGGCAGCAGCAGCTCTGACTGCCCATGGGTCCTGTCCCCATGCTATTCCACACTATTCTCTAAACAAAAGTGCACTACTGCCAGACCTTGAGAGTCCAAGAAATCTTTCTTTCCACTCTTCGGCTCACCGTCCCCACATGACAATGATCAGTCTCTCTCCATTTTGATGTTTGTTGTCAACTGGAGTCTGACAGTTTTTGCCAAATAGGTACACAGACAGATACGGTGACCAGGGAACTAGGCCAGGAAAGGGGTACAGAGGATCTGATAAAAACTAACATTGTCTGTTGAGTGTCTGCACATGGAAAGTTACAGGAAGAGCCTAACCCCCAGAGGTTCCCACAAGCAGGCTGGCCGAAGCCAGTTCTGTTCGCCTCGATCTGCTCTGAAGTGAACTTTCCCCATTATCAACTCATTAATATTTTCAATTCTCCTCCTCTGGGAGGGACCAGGGAGCCATTTCTGGATCATACTATGTATGTAGTCGCATGTGTCCCTTCTACCAATGAGACTTAA